ATGTTCTGCTTCCACTCTGACTGCAGCCCCGCTCAGCTCAACGCGGCTGCACACGGTCATCAACCTACCCCGATAGAGATAATCCACTGAGTGATGTCTCCCTCAGCCAATGGAAAGGCCCGGTTTGAGAATTGACCGTCCGGGGCGGGACTGTGGGGGGCTATTCCAAAATAGAGATGGAAAAAAAGAGAGACGATGTCTCACTCTGGTATTTTCTTCAGAAATGATATTCTCTGTGAGAGTATGTACTAATGTACGGTGGCCGAGAACAGCCACTGATGCAAATAAAAAAAGAAAATAAAAAAAAGTCTCACAACAGAAGTTACCGATTCAAACAGAGAGAAAAAAAAACTGAAGCCCGCTGCAAATAAAAAAAGAAACAGCGCAGATAATGAAAAAAAAAACAACGGAAGTTAACAACGCAATAAATAAATAAATAAATAAATAAATAAATGTGGCAATGGAAAGAAAATTACTTACTGTAAAAAAAAAAAAAGAATGCAAAAAAAAGAAGTCACAACGGAAGTTACTGATGCAAAAAAACCTGAAGCCCGCTAAAAATACAAAAGAAACGGTGCAGATAAAAAAAACAGCCTAAATGCAAGTTAATGGTGCAAAAAAAAGTGGCAATGGAAAAAAAGTTTCTTACTGTGGAAAAAAAAGCAAAAAAAAAGTTACAACGGAAGTTACCGATGCAAATAAAAAAAACTGAAGCCCGCTGAAAATAATTTTTAAAAAAAAACGGGGCAGATAATAAAAAAATAGCCACAACATAAGTTAACGACACAAAAAAAAAGTCGCGATGAAAAAAAAAGTTACCTACTGCGATAATGAAAGAATGCAACAACAAAAAAGTCACAACAGAAGTTACTGATGCAAAAAGAAAAAAGGAAACCGAAGCCCGCTGCTAATAAAAAAAGAAGCGATGCAGATTAAAAAAAATCTGAAAAGCCACAATGGAAATTAACGGCATAAAAAACAGTGGCAATGCAAAAAAAAAAAAGAAAAAAAAGTGAGTTACTGTGAAAATAAAAGGATGCTCATAAAATAAGCCACAACGGAAGTGAACTGCTGGGGACCAATAATGATGATGCACAGGTGTTTTACGATCTAGGCACAGGAGATGACGGCGAGAATATGACCAAAGAAGTTAGCGGAAAGGTCATGTTTACATCCTATTTTTACATCCTTGAAACAAATGAGTCGTTTGAGGAAAAAATACTAATGACAATCAAGGCCTGTAGAGTGTGTGTGAGTAGAGAAATCATCTTTTCAGACCCAAACTGTGTTTTAAACATGTTTATTTCAGCTACGAAGATGGGCTAGTTTGAGTGGGTGTGTATGTGGCACATTTTGCAAAACCCTTTTCCAGCCAACATTGTACAATGGGGCTCCAAGGTCAGCTGCTGCAAAGCGGAAAAAAAAGTGTGTGTGAATTTTACAGTGTAAAACTATTCTTATACGGAGCCGAGCATCTGTCCAAGCATAGACGATCTTTGTGTGCAGCGGGCAGGGAGTCCGGCTCGTGGGAGGAGACGGTGATGTCATTTCAGGCAGAGCGGGGAATTTCTGTGGAGGGGAATCTGCCTTGGATTAAAACCACCACTGCTCTCTGACGCCCTCTGGTGGCTCTACATCCTACTGCAACAGATATACTTCAGTCAACATCTGATGAGTTCATTTTGCTCTCAAAATGTGATGGTTTTTATTATCACTCGGTGTTATGGTGTGTTTGACCCTGACACTGGAATATCCCTTTAACCTCTGGCACGGCCTGCTTGAGTACATAATTTGACACAAACAAAAAGTTCCTTACAGGAGCTTTAAGAAAAGTACTGTAGTTTAAAAGTTCAGATTAGTTCAAGGCAATCTAGATCCTCATATCCTGTAATAGACAAATGTTTTCCAAACACTGATGGTGATTTTACATCCTTAAGTCTTGTGGTGTGAAGTACCTGATAAGGAGTGCCAAGGCAACTTTTCATTGCCTGAGTTGACCTACACTGCCATCTCCTGGGGAATAGTGGTATTTTTTTTCCTCTGTTAAGAGGAAAAGAAGTCCAGTGTTGAACAGGTGAGAAAAAAGTAGGTCAAAATTTTGGCTTTTATGTCTTCTTCTCCTCTTTTATCCTGGCTTTCAAAATCCGACATCTTACAACAATAGAATGACGATAAAAAACAGCCAAAGATATCTCAAAATGTAAAAATGCTGTCAAGAATAAATTATGAAGAGGTGCTGGAAATATCCATTAGACGAAGACAGAGACGCCGTAACCACTGTGAATAATTCACCCAGCCTCCTGCACACCACTGCTGTTTATTATCATGAGTGTGCGAGACAGAGAGAGCAAAAATAGAGCCGAGATTCTTAGAAGCCTTTTTCCACAGTTTCGAGAAAACCCGACAACACAGAGCAGATTTTGAAATACAATCCCGTCTGAGAGCTTTTACTCAGAAAGAGGTGATGTTTTCAGAAAGGTATTTACTACTCCATGAGTTATAAACTTTATTTTTTGATAGTCACTGTGGAGGAACTGTGTCAGCATTACCTCCAGCTCGAAGCTTTTAAAGGTTCAAATGACAAAACTGCAACCTGAGAGGCTGAGACTCTGATGTCCTGCGTCCTGTTTTTAAAAATGGAAGACTGATTCTGCTCGGCGTTTACAGCAAATTTCAGCTGAAATGACACACCGTCCTCTCTGACCTCATAAAGTCAGTAATGATTACGACAGATGAATTCTGGGAAGTGAAGTCTTCCTGAGTGTGGATTCAGGAATTTACTGACCTAGAGTTATAAATACAGCTTCTAAGGTATTTTACTCTGCACTGTCAAACACATTTAAGATGCATGACAGCATCTCGGTCTTTTTACTGATGCTTCTTGAGGTCTCTGAGTTTACTATCGTGTAGTTTTAACCCTCATCATCATCCATTTTTCAGCGATAAAATGTTCAAGATAAATATTTCCATGTTAAACGACAAGATTGATGATTGCATTCTTTTAGTCCATGTCGTTTCCATGAGTTTAAAAGTGAATTTATAAAGTTTTAAGTGTTAAGTCAACTAAGATTGCCACGGGAGATTTTAACACTGTGCTGCTTTCAGTGTCTCCAGGAAGACATGGCTCTTCCCCGTCTCATCACTCAGTCAGATATTTCCAGGATCCCACGGCCTGCATGCTTTACATAGCTCTGTCTGTGGTAATTTGAGTTCTGACGTTAGGCTGTGAAAATGAGTCCTCTGACGTTGTTAGAAGGGTGGCGAGGTGACAGGACGTGGGGATACAAATACAGACATACCAACTCAAGTAACTAAAGTCTGGTCACTTCTCTTGTGGAGCAAAGAGGGAGGTAGTTTGCCACGAAAGAAAAGTTAGTTTCACCTGAAATACAGTAAGAAAGAGGAAAAGAGGAGGACATGCTGGATCATCAGGGGTGCTGTCACATGACTTTATCACAGGTAGGTGACTGATTCACAGGTTTACAGACTCATTGTTGTATGTGTGGGATTCTAGCTGGCTGGTAATCATAGTTTACACTTGATACTAACAGATCTTAAAAGCTCCAATGGGGAACTTTTGGTTTGTGTTAGTTTTGGCGCCCCTTGTGGACAAACAGTCTTGAAAAAATCTCAATATTGCTAACTTTTGACGAGCTAATGCATCACTTTTTGCGAACAGTCAATGTGGAGACTGGAAAGATTACACCAACCCGCCTAACACTGATTTAAAGACCTACTTTGATGAAAATCATGTTTTTCTTGTTGTCTTCATGTTCATACAGCGTTTTTCTGATGCTGCAGGACATATTATGAGAAAAATAAATGCAAAATTGCTTTTCTGCTTTTCTGGCAGACCAAAACGGCAGGTTCAGACACAGGGAGATTTTCTACGTCACAACTGCAAGCTCCGCCCCCAGAACCCCGCTATACAGGCTAGACTCGGAGAAGTAGAGAGGACGATCACGGAACAAGCGTGTGCATTAGTGGATTGCAATGCTCGTAAGAAAGCTGATTATGACATTAGCTGTCATCATGTCCCCAAAGACATTAGTGTCCGAGAGCTGAATCTTTTTAGTGAACTGATTCTAGTGATTCAGTACATCTAATAGAACTGCCGTGCCCATCACTACTACAATGTTAGGCTGCAAGCTAGCGTGAAGAGGAGTGTGCAGAGCAGCGCTATCTCTGCCCACGACTCAGAGGTGAATTACTAATAGCTACTTATCTGCTGCAGCTCTGCAGAAGAAAAGCTCTCGAAAACGACACAGGTAACTTGATTTTGGATAAAACTTCATAATCACAATTTAAAAACCACTGACAACACTTTAAGTAGTAAAAAAAAAAAACGATCGGAGGCGTTCGATTTCGGTTTATAAATATTGTTCATCTCGTCACTAATGGTTTTGTTTGTTTTTGTATATCATAAAAAGGCATCAATATGAATTTAAGCCTATTTTAATTTGAAATATTTGAATCCCATCTAAATTTCCACCAGGTTTTGTCCAGACATGATCCTCTCTAATCTCCAACTATCTCTGCCCCCCTTTAAACCCAAACATACACACACACACACACAGGTCCCCTTCTCCTCCCACGCTCTGCACCTGCACTCTGACACTGTCAACGAAAGCACCTTTGACGTCATTCCCACCAGCACCTCCGTCCGAAGGTCCCTGTGGACCAGCCTGCTACATAATAACCTCTCATATCCCGTAACACGGCAGATTTTGCCTGATTTTCTCAGGAAAAACCTCAGTGAGTGGGTCGGCCTCACATTCCTTTTGCGGCTTTGTACTGCTCTTTCTTTCTCCTTCTCTCTAACTCTCTTCCTCTCTTCTCTAATCTGTTTCTGATGCTTTTCCAAGATATTCCAGATGTGGGATCGAGCCAACCCTAGCTCTGTTATTTTCTACCTTTTTTTTTCCCTGCAAATGATAACAAGGACAAGACATACTCTGCTCAGGGATCTTAGGGGACGCTGTGGCTTTAAATTTGTCTCGATGGTGGGTTATTTTGCAGGAAGCAGACATTTAAGGGATAAGACAGAAAGGGGCTGGCTGGATTTGAGTATTACAATCGGAAAGATTTCAAGTGTTTGGGTGCAACTTTGTTTGACTTGACATTAAAACGCCAAAGCCAGCTGAAGCATTTTTGCCTCAGCAGCAGTGTGAGGAAAATAGCTCCAGTGTTTCACTTGTGGACTACAAAGTAATAAGTTAATCCGTCACATGTACTTGTAAGACTTTTGCTTGCACTTGCAACTTTTCCAGCAAGGAGTAAAACCACTGCTGTTGTGTCCACGTGTTTGTTTTGTTTTCTTGCTTTTCACTGGTTTCAGGTGAAGTTACATCATATCCATCTGGAAATTATTTCTACAAAGAAAGAATCTAAGTGATGTAAGATAGGAAAACAAGCCCGGTCATGTGGTTTGGCCTCGGTCCAGGTTTGATTCCCTCACACCAGGGAGGAAAAAAGCAGTACCTTAAAAGGCTGACAGAGAGAGACAGAGAGACATAAAGAAGGAGACAGAGACAGAGGGAGTATTTACTATAATCTTATCATGAAGTCGTCCTCCCCTTCCTGTTTTGTCTCATGTTTCAGACATAGTTCAGGAGACATAAACAGAGAAAATGATGAATCTGATCACCCGTTTCAGACACCGGGACTTAACTCCGCTTCGCCCCAGCCTCAAACTTTCTGCAGGATGTCTGAGGGAGACGTTACAGTGCTGTCGTTCTCTCCTGCAACCGTGGATGTGTCCAGGCAAGAGAGCCGGACGCTCACCAGACTGTACAGCATGAACGGAGGATATCACCTGAGGATTTTACCTGACGGGACTGTGAGCGGCGGCAGGCAGGAGAATGACCCCTATGGTGAGAAAGACTTAGTATTATTGTTCTTCTGGAAGGATGTATCTCTGAACGAGGAATTCTGTAAAGAGTAAAACAGAGATAGTTTCAGAATGTTGACATTTTTTGGTTGAAGTGGAAGTTTAACTTAACAGATAAAAGTACTTGAGGTTAAATAAGACGATCAAAAATGTAAGAAGTAAAGTTAAGATGTTTTAGCAAAAATTTATCTAGGAAAAGTGAAGACTGGACTCAGATATAATATTGTCATGTTGCATTCAAGGTCCTCAAATCTTCTGAATTTAGTTGTATCTGACCAAAACTATGACCGTTTCACAGCCTATACATTTTCTAAGCAACCAAAAACACTCTCAAAGGTAAAAATCTGGAGGAAATGTGGTCAAGTTCAAACAAAACATCAGACAAACCTTTAGCTACACCAGACAGCGGCTAGCATTAGTATTTGTTTACTATCTAACATTACTGATCGCCAGAGAGTGAAAGAAAACTGTTACTGTGGCAGTTTAGTGTGAATGAAAGTGTGAGTTACCTGTAAACAGAGATGTTCCAATACCAATTTTTTCTTCCTGATACCGATTCCGATATTTGTGCTGTGGGTATCAGCCGACATCGAGTACCGATCCGATACCAGTATGTTATAAAAAATATCATACCAGGCCTGCGTGACAGTCTAAGGTCTGGCTCTGGTTAAAACCTTTGTAAAACACAAATAAATACAGCAAATTCAAACCATTTATTTTTAAATAGAACAGTATAAAAAAGATCGAAAATGCAATTTAACTAAATAAATCTAGGAATAAGTGCAGCCACAATATTTTTAAATAAAAAGGGAATTTTAACAGAACAGAGGTAACAAAGTTAACCAGTAAATAAATTACTAATGAAATAAATTACATGGTATTGGATTGGTACCTGGATTCCAGTACTCACCGATATTGATGCTAGCATTTACGACAGTATCGGTACAATACTGTATCACAATCGCAACAACTCTACCGCTAAAGTACGAACATCAGGACTTTGCTTGTTATTGTCGTTCCAGTTGCTAATCGGTTTGTGAAATATCGAATGCTAACAATTGTCAGACACCCTAAAACTGCACAACTGATGAACTGGATCCATTAAGTTTAACATTTAACCAGCATTTATACTCTCCACTCTGAGCGCCAAGCCAAGGAGAAATAACTACCTTATGAATGAGGAGAAAACACTCAGCAACGGCTTACATTTCAGGGCTACTGCTGTAGCTAGCAGTATACAAGCAAGTGCTTCTGTCCAATAAGTCTGACCAGTTTTAACCTTGTTAGCATGCAGTTAAAGAACAATTTGAAGTAAATTTCCATCAGTACAACAGCTGATATAATCGTTTCATGTACTGGTGGATAATAAGCAGAGACCAGAATTATCCCAATATCCTAATAGGTATAATTTACATAACAGAGCAGACATGAAAGAAGAATCCTAGATTAACGCTATAACTTTAGACTTAAGTTAGCTTAAACATTATTTTAGCAAGCAATGCTAATGCTTGTGAAGTAATGTGTCAGTTCAGGTTTTACAAATGACTAAATTACTAAATCTTGTGGTACCGCATTATCATTAATATCAATTAGATATGAAGTGTATTACTAAGCGAGCATTTTCATCAGAAAAAACTGTATTTAAATGACTCTATTCTCCAAACATTAAAACTGTATTTATGATAATATTTTGAATTTACTCTCATAATAGCTTCATCTTTAATTCTCTTTTCTTACATGTACCCTAATACTTTGACATACTTTTATATTTTATGCAGAATCTGTAGCTAGAAATTATTCGGTCTGTTATTTGGTCTCTATCTAGTGTTCAAATCTGCACAGCAGGCTCAGTGTTTCCTGAGTATTTATTCCTTGAATAAAAAACATGGTTAGGTTGAGTTTTGTTTTTTTTTCACTCTCACATTGTTAAATGTCTAAATTTCAGATGTCTTAAGGCTAAAAGCTGTGAGTGTGGGGGTGGTGGTCATCAAGGGGGAGATGTCTGGGAGGTACCTGGCTATGAACAAAAAAGGACGCCTCTACGGATCGGTGAGTTTGTTCTTAAATATTTAGGTTGGCGTATGAACTCGTGGTACAGATGTGACCAGTAAGAGTTCCTGTCACTCTTTTCAACTGTAACCTTGTCATTGGAGGGAGCTGTTCACAGTCTGTCTGTTTACGTGACAGCTCACTAATCCTGCAATTTGGTAACAGCTTGGCTATTTCCAAATCTGCATTAGACTGGAAAATCCCAGCTTTGAAGGGTTTATACTAGTACCTGTGAGCAATATCACGTTATGACTAACTAACTTGATTCAGTAATTACAAATTTTCATACTCACTCTCGTCTCAGTCTGCACTTTTTACACGTCAATCGTTAATCAAGAACTACAGTCTAAACTCTTGTCTCCTCTTTCTTGTCCCAGCAAGTACTAAACGATGAGTGTTACTTCCTGGAAAAGTATGAAGAAAACCACTACAACACGTACCGCTCTCAGAAATACAACTGGTACGTCGGTCTGAAGAGGAGCGGGCAACCCAAAGCGGGACCTGACACCCACCAGGGTCAGAAGGCCGTCTTTTTCCTGCCGAGGCCTGCAGGCAGCGTGTAAACAGAGACATCAGCAGGAACCGTGGACACGCTCACTAAAGACTTTATGTGCATATTAAAAGATCTGGGCGAAGTTTCCCAGGAAGAGGTCACTTTGAATCTGTACAGCCTGAGGCGAACACTTAATGCTGTTTTTTACACTTAGTTAAAAGCTCTTTTTAAACTTAAATGAGTCGATTCCTTTACTCTGCGCAGGTGAGCCAAGCACCCTATATCGCAATCGAAATAAGCGGGATATCAGATAATATGCTGTCTACTTAACAGCACATCTAGCTCCTCTCAGTGGAAAGAGAAACTGTCTGCAGTATGAGCTCATGACGTTCTTGATGAATCGATGTTCATTTTGAACCCTGCTATGAAATACCACTGCTGGAAGATAGCTCAGGCTGCTTTTACACAGAAATACTTTCACAGTTGATCACGTCTGGCATGAAGAAAACCAAACAGGGTTGTAAACATAAAAGGCTGAACATCTGGATTGAACTAAAACTTCAGAGAGAAAACAAAGTCTCCAAAACAGGGATTTAAGGATTTAATGATATGATTGCTTTAGTGCAGCAGAGTGGATATTCACTGACCTCTGAGTGACTGATAGTCTTTACTGTAGTACAAGACTGTTTAATACTTACTTTGGTACTCACTGTGATCTATGTGGAGCAGTTCAGTATGTAGGATCCATAGACTGTATATAGAATGGACGCCGTCTGCCTCCTCGCTGGGTGAAGCCACCGAGAGAACAGCACCCTCTGGTGGCAGGCTGCAGTACAGGTCTTAAATCTCGCCTCCTCCAGCGATCCCTATGGAGCTGTGGACAAACTTTAGAAATTTATTACACAGAATATAAATTTAAATATATGACATGCTTTTCATTCAATTCTTCTAAAGATTTTTTGGATGCTGATTCGGTTCAAATTGCGATCCTACGATATTGTCGAATTGCTCGATTTTCAGTCTGTATTTTTAACACCAGTGAAACAGTTGAATGATTATGATTGTCTACTGACTATTCCAGGAACCATATTTCCCCCAAAAATACACATCACATGTAAGTCAGTTTTTAAGAATTACTCTTAAATTTAAAAAAAAATCCTGGAAATATCAAGAGCAATTCAGCTTCAAATTCATAGGTCCAGCCAAGTTGTCCATAGTATAAACAGTCTATGGTAGGATCACCTGAAGAATGGGACCTATCTGGTTTACTATGAAGTACTAATGTTTAAGGGATCTATTTGCAGAGTAATTGCTAAAAAAGGGAATTCTGTATTGTTCAAAATAGACCGGATATTTGGAAATGTTGTGTTTTCGTACCTCATAAGGAGCAGTTTGTTTTTATTGAGGGAGTCGTTCCTTTTCCACTGAGCCTGCCTGTTGCTCAGCAAACTGTAGGGCCAAACTAAGAAAGAGGAGGTTGAAAAAAGCAGATATGAGTTGTTTTCAGTCAGTAACCACACTGCCAGATGCCATTGTTCTGCTTCAGAGGTGAATGCAACGGCGAAAATGACATAATGTACGGACACAAGGACTACTTTTTGTTTGTGACATGATTTGCACTGACCAGAGAGAAGAATACCAACACTTCTTGGGTTATAACGCTAATTATTATTTTTAAACATGTAAAAACCAGTTGAAAGTCTTCTGTGAAAACTTAATTAGTATTGAGTCGCATGTTAAGAAATAACGGGACAGTGAGTGTAAACAAGAGTGAAGCCTTTACATTTAAGTTTTGAGGAGGAAGAGAGGGACCGTTTGTATTTTTTGGACAACATTTCCATTTCCCTGTAGATCTCTCTGTGAATTTTTTTTCTTTTTCTTCTGAGTTTCTGTCGCATTATTGTGAATATCTATTCGTGACGTTTTATTTCTGATAATAGTTTAAATTACTCATTAATAATAAAATAGATATTTTTACAGTTTTATACAGCGAAGAAGCCCAAAGGTAACATGATCACCTTTTGTGAAGTAATACATATTGTATTATGTTTATTTAAATGTATAGTACAAAGTCTTTAATTTATTATCATTTATTTCTGTTTCTTAAAAAAGTGAAAAATATCTTTAAGCCAAAATGTAAAATCCAGAATTGGGTACCTGTGTTGCTTTTCAACCAGCTTTTTGTATGTTTATAGAATTACGAATGAAAATGAATTTCTATCAATAAACATTATTATGAGTTCTGTGTTTTTGTTCATAAATTGAGAACTTTCAGGTGTTGAGCTGACAAGAAGTAACAATGTACTGCCACAAGATAGCAGCATTGCATAATGTTGTGTGTGTTTGCGTAGGGTTGCAGTGTTTTAAAGTTATACTGTTTTACTCTTGGTTTTATTTTAAGATGTAATTGTGAGCAAACATTCAGTTAAACGCACTATTTAATGATACAATAATTCTAAAAACGACATATTTGGTTTAACAGTTTATGAAGTACACAGATCCCATCATAAGGTAAATATATTTTCATGTAAAATTATCTAAATAAGAGTTTCCAGAAGTTTCCAAATGAGACAGAATGAGCTAATTCTTTGTGATCTTTTTTGTGTTTTTCTACCATGACATATAAAATAATAATAAGAAGAATAAATATAGAGTTAAATCAACAAGTGCTTTGTCCAAACCCAGGCAAAAGTAGACAACCTTTGTCATAATAAGCAAAACAATATGAGCCAACTGTCTGTACTTGATGTATTATTGTTTTTAAAAGTGCTGTACTATACTATTAGCAGACGACTGCATGTGTACATTATCAGGGAGTCTGGATGTGAAGTCTCGCTGCTCTCCATTGAGCGTGATCGTGTTTGCAAAGCTGCGACAGATGATACCAGAAAGACCTCCGTTCACCCCGATCGACTATTCTCACCACATTTTTGGAAGCGATGAAATTATTCATCTAATCTTTTCTTAATGCGTAACGGCTGAGAGAGAACACGGCCTGTTTCAGACAACAACACGTGCCAGGAAAAAAAGGATCCTGCGTAAAATATGTTTTGGAGGACTGGAGCCTATCAAGACTCCAACAACTCGCAATCTCCTGTGAGATTTATAATGAACGGGGAGGAAACATTACTGCAGAGTTTTTGAAGAGTGTGATAAATTACAGTTTCGTAATTGTCAACGGTTTTATGTTCGAAATGTTCTCTGCCCATGACCTTTTGGATGGAGAGGAGCAGATTTGTTCTGCGTAACGTCACTCCCTAATCTCTGATGTGTTTTTCTTGATTAAACTTCTGCACAAAATTAAACAACATACTTCTGTGACATTAAGCATTACAACTTCTAAATAGAGTTTCATTTCTGTCACCTAAAATCCAACGGTTCAATCTTTATCTCATCTACAGCATTTTTGGGAAATGTTTAACTTTGAACTTTTAATAAGTTTTCTCTTTTTGTTTTGTTTTAGACAACATTAATTTGTTTTTATAGTCAACAGTTTTTAAAGCACTGATCTGTTCTTGCATGCAGAAAAACTCTAAAAAAACAATAAAGAGACCTCTCTGCATCATTATCATGCACGGCTCGTTATATTGTCTTTGTTCTTCAGATCCGGTTCTCACCACTTCAGTAAAAGTTTGTGATCTTGTCCTGCTGCTTTTCTGTTTAGTGTGTTTTGGGACACAATAACCACACTATACTAAACTCTAATATACCAATGAAACAAAGTCAAATCAGAAATTTCATGTTGGGAAAGAAACTGATGTGTGATTAAAACCGTCATAATTCACTTTGAGAAAATGGTCAGAGTGAAATAAAAACTGCATGTAGGTTTGTCAAACTTGGAGACACTGAGGGGACACAGAGATGCAAACATTGACTGTTACACACACACACATACATACATATAAACACACACACACGCACAAACCTGGTTGGCTGATGGCCTGCAGGGCTGTGCGGGGCAGGAAGGGAATCATTCACTGTAAACTGAACAAGGACTGGCTTCCTATGGGAGTCCCCGAGCCTGACAGCAGCCAAGATCCCTGCAACACAAACCACTTTAGCAAACACACACACACACACACACACACACACACACACACACACACACACACACACACACACACACACACACACACACACACACACACACACACAGATCAACACGTACACACCCTGAAACTGGGATACATTCTCTCATTTGTTACTCCTCTCTTCGCTCAGCTCGGTCTTTCTTTACACTCCTTTCCTGTCTCTTAATTTCAGCCTCTTTCTTTCAACCTCTGTCTTTCTTACCGCTTCTCACCATCAGTCAGTCCCAGAATTACTTTTACGCCTCTGCTAGAAAGCCTCTTAATTTTTGATACCATCTTAAATTATTATTCAGTGAAATTTTTGTACTAAATCCACTTTTTTATCACATCTCTCCTCTTCCTGTATCCTAGTTTTGTTCTTTTTTTCTTTTCGCTACAGTCCTTTAAACAAAAACGTACCATATTTAAGGTCAAAGGTCAAGAGTTACATACTATTCACCCCTGCTAACTCTGGTTTAATCATATGGTTGATAACAAAGACAAAGCCATTCCTCTTAAAGGACCTTTTACTATTACAGCCATGACTAGCTTTATTAAACTCATTAGGTTGACTGCTGTTGTTCAGAAAGTCTCTTGACCTGCATCTATAGGGTGACCATATTCTGAATCCCTACAAAGAGGACACGATGTGGGGCAGAGTCACAGAGTCGCACGTAGTGAATTTTGAGGGTTTTTCGGGTCAGTTGAATATTTTTTACGCGCTATCACTCAATCAGTCCATGCTACACAAACTCAAAACTTCCATACAAAACCCCGGACATTTGAAGGACTTTATAAACTCCCCCTGACAACAGTAGCTAGCCATCAAACATCTTTTAAGCTTTGCCTAGTTTCTTAAGCAAAGAGACAAAACACAACTCACCAACTCTCCTCCAGCAGCCTCTTGTTTGTGGGGGGAGACCTGACGAGTCGATCACAGAGTGCAGCGGAGTTTTGCAGCTCAAGGAAGAACATTTATGACTATTACTTCATGGAAATGCAATCTGACCGAGACGCTAAGGCAGAAGAACTACCAACTAGACAGGTTATAAATAAACAATGAGTAGGGAAAGGTCAAAACATATACAATAATAAATAGTATAAATAGAACATAGACTAATTATCAACCAGAGATAGAGACAATAAGACAATAAGTATACATAAAAAGGAAAGAAAAATGATCATAACAAATAATGACGTGTTTAAGACATTGAGACATTGAGATTTCAATGATATTTTAAAGGATTTGAAGGATAATATTGATTTTAGAGATACATCCAGATCATCCCATAGTTTGATGCGAAGAAGTTTAACAGAGAGGTAACTGAAGATGGCCATTTTGTCTTGTTGAGTACGCGTGAAGGCCAGATGAGAAGGTAAAAAAGTTTCGAAAGGAGTCAGGAAGGTCATGTTTCCTGATGATGAACAAACAAGCAAGAGTGAAAGACATTGAGTTTGACAATCGGTAAAATCAGTACTGCATGGAAATGAACCGCTGCATTGCCGTGTATCACTATCGTGCGGTCGTTACTAAAGTTGGTATAACTAGAGAAGCGAGAAGTCGGCAAAATTCATCTCTTGAGGGGGTGTCTAACTCGGTGTCACTAGTGTTTGACCATGGCTTAAATTTACGCCGGAATATTCCTTTAACAGAAGAAATGACAGGTGCAGCACAGGTGTGATGCTGCTGCAGACACTAACAGCATATTCAGGATATTCACTCTGCTATTGGTTCAGATTTTACAGCCCAAAAATGGGGCATAAGTTGCTCAGCAAAGTGTTATACATTAGCTTGGTAAATTTCATCATGTTGCACACGAGCCTGATGGAAAAACCAAAAAGGGATTTGTCCATCTTTTCCATATTTATATTGTTTTTTCTAATTAGATTATAATTCCTTTGGATCCCTGTGGTTGCTCATCTCTGCCCCTCTTGTGCTCTTCCTTTACTCTCATCCTGGTCTTGTGGCCTCATCATGAAAATAAAGATGCACTGTCGACATCGCTGTAAGCACGCTGTTACCTTCACCTTCCTCCTCCACAACTCAAGTACACACACTAACGCACCTATACCAAAGCGGATATAGGGGATGCATATCCGTCAGCTGATCCAACAGAAAACGCTGACAGGCGTCTTTCCCCCCCTTATGCTGCAGCTGCTGAGACAAGAAGGAGAGGGGTGAGAGAGAAACGAGGGACAGAGAAAGAGAGAGGGAACATTGGGACGACCCCAAGGATTGCCCGGATGCTTGTGGTTGGCCCCTACAGCAACTGTTTTCCTAATAGATGATTTGTGCTGGATCGACACATTCTGCAGGGGCTCCAAACATGCAGCTTTCCCTCCGAGTGGGAGCAGCCAGTGGCATTTGTCAACCATGAGACCCTTAGCTAAAAAAAAAAAAAAAAAAAAGAGACGAAGAGGAGCTTCCAGGAGATTTCAATTTGGGACATGAAGAGTCAAACGTCTTTGGTGTCTTTACTCGTTTGTCGGGATGTGACCTATGACCTGCATGCTAGCAATAAAAAAAGCTAAGAACTGGAAACTATGTTGGTAAAATAAAGCAAAACAAACCACAAGCCAAAGTGACTCAGTGTTTTTTTTTCTTTAGCTTTGAGCCTTAAAATATGTGTCAGTTTACCAAAGATGCCAGTTTAGTTTATTTCAATCGACTTCAAACAAGCAGGATTGTGGTTAGCACCATTTTGGTTTGTATTTTAGCCCTGAGTGTCATGACTGGAGCAGCAATGTTACTTAAGTTAGCAACAAGCTAGGGTGGATCTTTTCTTTTCTGAGACTAGCTAGCCGAGTCATTCTGCCAAGTCTTTATGCTAAGCTATGCTCACTGAGCGCTGGCTCTTCTCTCCTCATATCGTTTTACCTTTCTGCCAGGACCTGCTGGTCATAAATAAATTAAGTATAAATGGAAAACAAACCATTTTCTGTTTTTCATTTTGATTATTCAAGTTTCATTCGCTTTTTTTGTTGTGTCCGCAGAAGTGGTGACTTGGAGCAAGAACGTTGCCCCTGCCAAGATGGCTGCCATATAGGCACGTCACTAAGCAGGCTGTTACGGCGCACTGGCGTATCTCCTCCCTGTAATTATTTTTTTTCTCCTCATGTGGCCCTCATCCTCTTTCATAGTCGTACATGTGTTGGAGTCATTATTTAGTTTCTTTTGCTTGTTTCATTTCCTGTTTCTATTCCTTGGCTCTTTGCGCCATTTAAGTACGCACAGGTAGTGAGCCAGGTGTGGAGGGCGGAGCTATACAGATTTTTGACCGTGGCAGCGTGGCGGCAGGTGAACGTTCTCTTTGTTTGAATGGAAATAAATGGGCCACCATACTCAAAGACAGAATATTGGAAACTTGGTTTTTATTGTCACATCACGCGCCAGAACGAGTTCTAGCTCTTTACCTGTTGGAACTCATGTGTATAGTCTCAGTGGAAAGACTCTTCAATATGGATAGATTACACACTTAAAATATTATTTGAGACTTAAACATTTTTTAAAAATATGAGACATAGAGTGTAATAGATGAAGTGACTATTTCCCCTTACACACCTGCGCTTAGTACAGCTTGTTCCCACACAAACACACACAGACACACATATCTCGCTCTCACTTACACACAGGCTTCACACCAGTCTCACACATTTCTAGTGTGACTCTCTCAGTCACTGCTTGAACTTCCGAATATGGAAGAACTGTCATCCATTGTTTTAGTCACTGACACACACACACACACACACACACACACACACACACACACACACACACACACACACACACACACACACACACACACACAGAACTAGTCTCGAGACCGGAAGCTGGCCTGTCCTCTCAGCTGTGATGTCTCACATGCACAAATACACTTTCACACACAGACCCACTGCACTGATGACGCCTGCGATGGTCAAAAATATCCCGAATGAAACGGTGAGCGGTGAAGTCATACCTCTCTCTGCTGCTTTTATGCTTTGAACATCCTGGGAATTTAATGACACCAGAGATTATTCTGGCAGTCACTCACTCCCACTAACACAGACACACTTAAGTCAGGGATATTAGTTTGCCCAAGGTTTGTAGACTCTGAGGCAGCTGATGTCTTGACGTGACCTATATTACTCAGCATCCCATAGGAAGCTGCACTCGAGTTCTTTCTGCTGAAAACAACTTTTATTACTGCGTCTTTTAAAGTCCCCGTGACGTTGTGTACTTCCTGGTGACGTCCACAGCGCAGGAAAGAGCCCACTGTTCAATTGTACAAGAGTTCTTTAGAGGTGTTATTCACTTGCGTGCTATTTTAACAACAGAATAGTGACAAAGAACAAACGAACAGAGTCATCTGAAAGGACGTCACCTGCTTGGAAATGATGACGGTTATTATCATCACGGCATAAATAAGAATTTTTATACTGATACACAATCCCAAAAAATACTATTACCAGATTATTTTTTCTGTATTTGAAACATTTAATATTTTAATAATTGCCAAAATTCAGATCTGTTATTACCCAGCCGTGTCAAACACTTGATTTTGGTTAGCTGCTGAAAGCATATTTCACTTCTGCCTGTTGACACTGTGGCAAAATTACCTTAATCATTCTGAAATAGTAATTGTTAGGGGAAATTACATGATCTAGTCAAATTAGAAATGGAAAAATTGAGCATATAGGAGTGAAAATGGCTCCTATAAATACTTTAATCAGGATAAAACTGCTGATCTGATTGGAAAAAGAGAGGTGGCATTTTGGTCCATGTACTTAGTGGCCAATAGATTTCCTTCACAAATGAAAAAAACGAAAATTAGGGAAACGAGCTGTCTCCTGATGACCAGTAAGGAATTGGGAGATGAAAAACGGAAAAACGAAGCGTTACTTATCATAAATATCAGAGAGTAAAGAAACAAATCAGTATTTGAATTTCTTTGGTTTGGCTTTAAATGGAAATCGAAGATCAAATTACA